ATAACTAAAAGCATGAATGTACTATAAGTTTTCTTTTAAAAAATCCTACAATATTCCCTTGTCTCTTTTACATTGAATCTGCTCTAAAAAAGCCGCTTTCTGGTCCAACTCTGCGCTTCAACCCAAATGCGTCGGATTCCCTTATAACAGCGATACAAAGTTTACAAAATCCGTGACGTTCGTTTCATTTTTAGACCAGTTAATGCGTCAGGAACCCAAAGAGATCTCACCTTTCTGACTCTCCATACGAGTGTGAATTTCTATGTCAAACAGCATTTTAGCTAAGTTTGGCGGCGCTTGCACATCAAAATACCCCTATGAAACGGTTAATTTACCCACAACAAACGAGTAGGAGGGGCCGAAGGCGACCCACTGGGGGGAATCCGGTCAGAGCTTTCTTCTGCGTTGAACACCATCAAGCTATCTACTAATGTCTACGCTCGCATTCACCTTTCAGGCTGATATCATATATCTCCTTCAACAACGCAGTTACCGACAACTCCAACAGGAGAGATGGCACGCGTCTCAGTGAAATCGGTGGCTGACCCGCAGCGACGGATCTTCAGACATCTTTCGTACTCCATTTAGTGATCGTTCTATCGCGCAACGGTAAAAGGAAATAGGACCGTTGAACTACTCAGGGTTCGGCAAAATATGAATGGACCCCTGCTGACGACTGGCAGTGACATTGTCAAAACAAGTTAGCTGCGTATGATCTCTTCACTCTCATGGCATATGTACGCCTGCGTATGGCATTTCCAATTACAAATTTCTTTGAAGAAACAGTTGCATTTCTAAGGCCAGCGTGACACTCATTTTTCTCCTGATACCGGTCCGTGGTCACCATGATGACAAACGACATAGAGGTTTTAGTTGCTTTGGCTGACGCTCCCATTATTAGGAGTGTATCTTCAAGGAAATTGGCATTAAAGAGGAGACGACCCAGAAAGTACAAGGTAAGACAGCTCGTGAGAGCACTGTTGGTCGGCTTGTTGTTTTGTGGTGATAGCACCCGACCATCTAATTGATATGATGACTAATCCACTCTATCGCTGGGAGATCAAAAAGAGGGGTGAGATTGTAGCCCGCCTTGAAATAAACTTCATTATCACCTTCGTAAATCCCTAGTTTATTATCTGCGGCATGATTTCTATTTGCACAAAAGGTATACACCCGCTGCTGTGCTTTCTTAACCCAACTGCAACGGGCTTTATACCTGAAAATATAAAAGAACTGGTGAAGCTTGATAAATCTTTCAGCGCTGCCGGTCTCCATCTGAGAGGTTTGACACATCAGTGAATCGCTGTGATACACCTTAAAGGTAAAAGCAACGCTAGTTCAAGAGTCTCCTGCCATTGTCAGTCGAAATTGTTGCCATCCGTCCGCTTTTTTTTTTTTCATTTGAAAACATGGACAGGGAAAAGATTTCACGTTTGAAAAATACGACCGCTATTCAGTGCTAGATTTAAATTTTCAGAAATATCAATGCGAACGTCTTCGAGGGCGAACAAACTCTCCATAGGAATCGCTCTAGAAGGTTTGTTTGCTAGCAGCAGACCACTACCAGCAGCAACATCTGTTCGGAACCGTTCGAGGACTTTAAGGCCCCAGATAAGCAATATGATGGCCCTGTCGAGCAGACTGCATGCGACAAAGTCGTGAACCCAATTCCCTTGCTCGGTTAGTGCCCTTACGCGATGGAGACGCTACCTGAAATAGCCAACCCTATCGGCGATGCCGGCCTGCCTTGCAGAGGCTCCAGTACAGTAGAACGAGTGGCAGGTGCAAGCTTCCTTTGAGGAATATTGTTCTCCCGGTGTGATCCCGACATCAACAACGGTGTCACTATGTTATGAAGTGGCTGATTACTGAACATTAAAGGTTAGTAAAAGCTAATTGGCTTTTCATTATACGTTACACTATATGGAGTTAGAGTCTGATGGCTTCGAAACGGATGATGGGAGCAACGAATCGATTTGGATGGAGCTCCTACGAATGCTTATTAGTAGAAAGTCAAAACATGGGAATTAAGGCTGCCGCCGTCAGTTAAGCAAATTACCATAGAAATATTTGTCGCATTGATTTACGACTCTGCTTACCGAGTGGTGAGACCTTGTCACAACAGGAACACGTAGCGCCTGCGGCAGAATCCAGAGTAACACAGTTAAACATGATGATCCTTTGGTTTTGTTGAAGATTATGCTATACAATGCAAAACAAATACAAGGTTGCATTTATTTCGCTTTCTCAACTGCGCTAATGTCCAGTTTTAATAAACGCTAGTCTACAAACGCGTAATCCAGGTATAATCATACTACAGCTGCTGCGATCTCACTCAACTGAATCCTTACGCCTTATCAATTTCTACCGCTCACTTTTCCAAAGGGTGCGTCGAGCCACCAAAACATCGGCTTTTTTTTTTTCTCTCTCATCCATTGACGTTGTTCAGCCATTGCAGAGCATTGAGCCCTCATTTCCTTTGCTTCTGCTGCTACCAATGATACTGTTCAAGTCCGCACCACGCTATTCTTTCTGTGGTCTCGACTTCACAAAGCTAAACGCAGCTACGTCGCAGAAGACCCCGCTGCTGTTGCACACCTCATCAAAATCTATCTTCCAACGGTCCAATGGCAAAGGGGCAGCTTTCATCTCTCTTATCTCATCATTTTCCTGACCAGGAGGGCACATCGGGCTGAGGACTAGCAGACGGTACTGATAAGGAAAGCTAAGCGGCACCACCATGACGACAACGCGAGAGAAACAGACAGCTGAGAGGGCCGCGAGTGCCTGCCCCCTATTGGAGGAAACAGCGTGTCGAGGTGATAACAAGATGATTCTATTAAGTTTGTTATATCGTAGTGTAGTGAGGGTTCTACATCGGTTTTTTGCTTGGATGCAGGACAGCATTTCCTTGGCCTTCGATTCTTACTTGGTCTAGCAGGCCCGGCTCAGAGCTATCGCACATTATTCCTTGAGCAGACTGGGTATTACTGCAGCCTATCTTTTTTTTAAACATCGACCAGAGACCAACCAGCGTGCATCTAAGGTATCCTTCTTGTTAAAAGGCACATCTGTAACGCTGCCCGCAAAGTTGCAGAAGGTACGTGTTTTAACACGAAGCGCGTATGGAGTTCTTGTTGTTGTCACCATTGTTGCTGTTGTAGTAGTAGTTCAAACATAGCTTCTTTAGTAAGTATAGTGCCACTTCTTCATCGAACACGGAAGGGCACAAGGAAACTTGGGGCATGGTGTGGCGAACAGAACGCTCGAACGAAGAGGCGCGCAACAGGTAGAACAAGATGGTTCCCTTTGGAGTGAAACGAGGTGGGAACTATGTTTTTGAATGCTTGCTAAGCTGGCAAAATTGCTGTTTGAAGAGGAGTACCTCAGTATTTTATGCTAGCAAAACCTCTACGGGTCGCACTGCAGTTGCGAAAGCAACAGAAGCAGACCACCAGAACCGAGCAGATCGTCAAACGATAGTATTAGACCCGAATTAAACGGTGCTTCGGAGCCAATACGAGAGGAACATGTATTTTAGTTTCGCTCTTCAAATCCAGAAGCTCACACACACATATATATATATATATATACGAATATATTAAGAGCTGTTGGTCTAGTGCTACCTATGATACACCTAGTAACGATCGTAGTCCTTTTAGCTAATATAAATGTAATCGTCTATCTTAAGAACCTTACAGAACAAACGACTGCTTCGACACAGGCCACTCAAATAGAAATCAAACTATGAATTCGTTTGAAAGGAAAGGGACACAGCTTTTTTCAACGTCTGCTGCAAACAAATGATGGAAAAAGGACAACAAGCTTAAAAAGACGACAAATGCTAGCGCCGTATCTAGAAATAGCAGTAGTTATGATGCTAGCATTGGAAATGGTATGCCAATAGATACCACTTTTCCAACCACGTCTCTAAGTGATGACAACGGCATTATCATTGCTGAAACGTCGAACGTTCCTTTTTTCGAGCTTCGTGGAGCTCTGTCACTCTTTCTACTGACACCGAAATCCAAAATGAACTCGGCGAGACTCTTGAAACGGCCCTTCTTCTCGCGAAATCTTCTCGTCGCAGTAAAGAGCTCTCAACATGCTCTTGCCGATGATGCTTTCGGGAAGTGTTGGAGGCTTTTACTAAGCCGCTCCCTGTGCTCGGTCAACGAATGGTGCGAAGAATCTGTTTTGCTGTATTCGTCGTTCTTTATGTAGAGGCTGCAAAGAAGATAGCGCGAAAGTGCGCACGACCCAAGGCGCCGCCAGGCCACGGCTTGGACAGTTCGGTTCTCTCTGACTCTCGCTTGCCTTGGGGGACCTGCAAGGCCACAGCAGGGTGAAATACGCCAGGAAGGACGAGACGGGTAGGACAGCATATAGGGGCCTTTGCCATGCTCCATTCTAGTGACCGTCGGCAGACCCGCGACCCAGAATGCTTACGGCTGCGCTGAGGCTTGAGGAGGCTATAGGAGGACACCGGCGCTAATAGTACTATTGCTGCCGTTGGAACGAGAGGAAGCAAGCCAGTTGGTTGACTAACTGGACTAGGCCGCCACTCTGGGCCTAAGAACTAAGGGAGAAGGAGAGACTGTTCGGCCGGAGAGCCGGAGGAGGGGTTGTTCCGGTGTAAAACTGCATTGAACATCCTCTCCCATTTTATTGTCCTAAACAAAGGCTCCTTCCAACCGCGGCCCCATAGCACTCCCCTTGCCTTCCCCCTATATAGATAAGTTTGTCCAACAAAAGCATTCAACACAAAGGAGTCGCGTTCTTTTCAAAATGTTCTTCAATAGAATCTCATTCATATGACGGGAATGAATGTAGACACACGCAGCGCCTGCCGGCCTGGCTCACTAACTCACACAGACGCACAGCTTCGAACACTGTCACAGTCAAGCTGAGTACGGCTATTTGGCAGATATATCCAGGCTCACACTCCCTACGACTAGCAGCACATGACGAAGGAAAGCACACACAGCGAACAAGCAGCCTTTGGAACAGCAGTCGTTGTCGTCGTCGTCGCTGGCGGCAGCGTCCGGCGCCCGGTGGCACGACCCTCCTGGCGACTATATAAAAGCGACTTGGCGCCCGAGTCATTTCTTCATTTACCGTCAGAGTCCATGAAGTACAGAGCTCCACACGGCGTCGCCACGCAGACCAACGCAAGGAGGACGCGTCGGTGACGTGATAACGCGCGAAAACGACGACTTTTAAAACGAAGATTAAAAAGATGACGAATTCAACACTGTGTGTGCCGCGGGCTCTGCGGAACGCTAGGATAGGCGCGCGTGCGAAAATCGCTACTGCCGCCGCCGCTCGCCTCCACAACCGTCGACAAAAGTGGAGATTCGAGTGATGTTGTGCGAACCGCGAATCATAACAGAAGCTATGCCAATGATCCTAAAAGAAGGTAATACGGATCTGGCGATATGTTGGAGTGGCTGAAGCAACGAAGCGACACATGTCACTAGGATGTGATTTGCCCTATGCGAAACGCAAAAGCTATTTCGGTGCCTGAGGTTTCAACGTACTGTTGTTATTGTTGCCCTATACATGCGCTGAGCAGGTCGTCCATAGTACTTAAATAGTGTCCCATCACAGAGATTATGTTGGCAATAGACAATAGAATGATGTTTTACTTAGAGTTTACTTAGCCTTTGATTATTGATTCATTGGTGGTACTGGTGCGTTGCGTTCGACGAAGCTCTGGCAATTTCCTTTTACTCATTGATTCTAAGTTCGTGCGTCCGTCAATCATGTGCTTGCCGCTCGTTCGCCATTCACGGCTTTGAACTCCTTTCGCGCGTTGCCTGACTCGTTTGGCTCTTGCTAGGCCTTCTTCAATCACCAGGCGCGTAATCTCACCTTTCGTAGGGATGGTCTATTGCTACCGACAAAAAGTATTGCTATTACATTGTTTAATAAAAGCTACCACTGCCCCAGCATTGTTATTCCCAGTATCATTGTTGTAATTTAGCTGGTTGTTGTTGTTATTGTTGCCGTTGTCGTCGTCTGGTCAGTGGTGGCTCGAAATTGTTACAGGTTCATACAAACGACGGAAAGTATCGTTTATACAAACAGATAAGGCGTTTAGATGCGGGATGAACAGGCGAACTGGAGTACAGTGCGGTATTGCTTGCCACCCCCATCGTCGTTGCAATCGGGACGAGAACAGGTAAATCTATACCATTCCACTGTTTTCTGTCATCAGGCTTCGACGTAACTTTACGAAAGGAGTTCGTGGTTAACACAACACGTCCTCATGGTGGCGATAGGTTGTTTAGCGCTGCCGTTTGATCCGTGCTTCGAACGTATCGTTTCTCGCTGCGTGAGTCTGAGTGAAACGACAGCTCTGACATTCACCGGGGCTTTGCTAAGTAATGGTCCTTTTGTATACACTTTGTCAGTATTTGCTGTCATTTTTTGCGGATCACAGCCAGCAAAACCACTTGTGATTTTAATATAACTCGTCGTAGATGCGATGAGAGCCCCAAAGGAGATGAGGTCAGTTTTTTTCTCAAACTTCGTCCAGGTTGTCTCTATGCATGCGTTCTAAGCCGCTTTATAGGTTTGCATTTTTAGAAGAAAGGCTAGTACTTCATAAGTTCCTTCATAACTATATAATTTAGCAGCATCTGCTTCAGTTTCAGCACACATATAACAAGGGTCTATGGAAACGATATCTATTATGTGTGTAGGCAAAATCAGCATCACACTAAAGGTAGGCAATCAGAGTATATTTGAATCGTTCCATTAAGTTTTTGTGAATTGTAAGTTTTCAGAATCTGCTTGATTAGGCCCAGAAGTTGTTGCGCGTGTCGGACAAACAGTTGGAAATTTCCGGCTATCTAAATCACAAATGAAACTTTATTGAAGACTGTATCGTCTCAGAAGCTGTATACCTGGATAGGTCGTGATGAAAAATCCTTTTTGAAACTTCCCGCCATTGTCACTTGTCGTGCGTGAGTTTGTGAGCTATCGGCCCAGAATGAAGCTAGAATGCTTCAAGGATTTCGCTAGTGCGTGTTATCTGGTTGTACTGAAACGTGCGAGGGGAATACGTCGTTAAGAAGCTTGTGTCAATAATAATAAATCATCACTGTTAATTTTTTTCGAAGGACAGCCAGGAAGACTGAGAGCAGCCCTAGATTGTAAAAACACTCGTTATAAAATGCCTATCAAAGTAAATGACTTATGGTATTTGATTTGTTGTAAAGCGTTGTCCTCAAGTTGTGTAACGTAGTAACTAATGAACGAAAGTAATAGATACGTGCTTTATTTTCTGGATATTATGACAGTATACGGTAAGTTGGAAATTTAATGTTTCAGTGGAAAAAGTTTAATAAATCGTTCACGGTTGCTAAAACTAACATAGGCTGGTATATTTTACTTTTTGCTTGGGTTGAACTCTAGGACAACAAGCACCAGGGCAGGCTAAACTCATTGACGTCATCACTGGTCGAAAATATTGGTTTGTAATGCTATACGTATGTCTTAGAAACACTAAATAAATCGTAAATAAAGCGATATTTATTATTAACGACTACCCAATGCGAACTTCGTTTGTGAGGTATTCATCAGTTCACGCATATTCGGTAATCCAAATGAATCGCGTGTTTCGGTATCGGAATCAGACGATTTTTCATAGAGACATGTACAACCTGATTAGTGTGCGTTTCGAAGTTCTCAATTCGCATGGCTTCATTCATCATTGCAAAGCAGATCATAAGTAACTCGCCGAAAATCCCAGCGGTTTCCTCGAGCGAACCGCTGTGAGCCTTGTATTGCTGTTTTCAGTCTCATCCCGCTGTACTTGACACCATTGTAAATTCAGACCATTAGACAGTTCTGTTGCACTCTGCAACACTTCTTCTGGCTTTTTTCGTCCCCCTTCGTCGAAATAAAGTGTACGCCGCCGCCCCCGCCACTTTGAACCTGGGTATCACTCTGCCATTCCTTTTAAATCGCGCCCTCAGATGTTTCAGGTGAGGCACTTGTTACTAGAGCCCCCAAATAAAAATTCGTTTACTCCTGTTAGTGCTAAGCTATTAAGCTGATACATCGACAAAAGCTAAAAGAATGCAATGAAAACTTCGAGTCTGTCAGCTTGACTGTCGGTTGCTAAACAATTTTAGATAACCAGAGTCGATATGCAAAGGACGACACTGAATTGATCAAGATCTAACCAAAAACCAGAACTGTACTACATTTCTAAAGGTTGATTGTCTAGAAAACAAACAGAGGCTATAAATATAACATGTTTTAATTAAATGAACATGAGCTTCAATAGCGACATCTTAAGTCGCTGCCTATACTAGCAAAGGACTAGATCAAAAATCAGGCCACATTTATACGCAACTGGACATTCAGCTATTCTATCCAACCCTAAATTACCCTTAGGCAAACGCGTTACGAATCCCTCTAGGTTTTAAGGAGTACCACTCATCACTGACTACATGCTAAAGCAGTTATGGTTCAGGTGGGCAGACAAGTGGGGTGACTCGAATCCTATGCATAATACGCGGAATCAATTTCCCGGACTGCTTTAAAAGTTCGAGAATAGTGGCTTTATCAGTCTTGCAGATCGGGCTCCCTGCGTATCCCTTTGATACGATGGTTCGAAGGCGAAACGCCACAGACTCGACAGGGCTACTATAGGGTATGGCTGGCCACTCACTCAGCCCTCAGGAAGACTGTAGTAGTTATCGCTTTGAAGAGCTGAAGGGTTTCTGTCTCCCACATGTCAAGTCATGATGGTAACGCATATAGATAACTGAGACTATTTTGTCCTTAGTTGAGCAGACGGTAGCATAGGACAAGCTGCTGGGAGCAATCGCTTTCGGTCGGAAGCCTTGGGGTCATTCTTTCCTAACGGCAAAGAGAGATAACGCCCTGCGAGCCCCCTTCGTACTGGTGTACTGAGCAGAGTCATACACGAATTCTTGCAAGGCAAAGATGGAGTCGCGTGGCGAAGCCGCTGATGACAATGATGTTAAAGTCGATGACGAAGAAAGAGATATGGGTTGGAGTGGTGGAATTTTTCATTTTTCGCGCCAGGCACATTTTGACGAGCCACTACCTCACCGAGAGGATATCGCCGTCGGCTCGTGCGTTGCGGCTTTTCCAGCAGTGTTGAGGGAGCAAATGGAAAATCTGTAAGAGGGTTAAAGACTGTTCAAGGTCCTGATTGAATATGTTTGATGAAAAACAGTTAGACATATGCATTAAATAATGGTTTATAGTAAACGGTAGGACAGGTCGGAGTTAGCTTTTAGTACTGGCTGGATTAGTGTGGAGAAAAGATAAATCTACTCGTCGTCTATATAATAGCATAAATCATTCAACTGCATTACGCTACATTACCGTATAGATAACTTATCAGTTGTGAATTCCCAGTTCTTGGGAAGAATGTTTGTTCTTGAGAAATCACCCTAATGTGGTTCTTATATTAGAGAGGCAGCTTCTGGTTTAAAGGAGTCAATGATAGACTAGTATAGCGCTAAAAATAGAGGAAAAAAAAAAAAAAAAAAAGTCTGCGAAATGACTTTTTAGCCATCAGATTTTCTTAACTTTATCAGTTTACTTATCGGAACGTGTCTTTAAGCGAATCAAACTTCCTGTTTGCAACTCTCTCGGATGTCCTGAGAGTTTCTACTAAACATTATTAATAGACTAGAACATGTAATAGGAATAAAGCTAGAGCAAAATCAGAGACGTAAATACTGCGTAGTGATTTATTAACCAGTCACTATCTTTGAAACGAATTGAAGGATTACAGGTTCCATAACAACGCATCTGCGATCCGAATCCTACCATCCTAGTAATACTAGGCATAATAGGTACTAAACAAAATTTACTTAAATCCTCTAGGTTGTAAGTAAGTAACTGATGATGAATGACAACGTAAATTGAAGTAATTAAACTGCTAAGCCCGTCTTGTTAAATACAGAGAAAACTGAAAATAGACATGTTTCTATTTTCTGTTCTATTCAATGATAAATTTGTGACAACTGCGTTTTGTTCAGAATTAAAGTTTGTTGGTACTTTAGTAGTTATTATTTTTTAAGTGTCAATAGTTTTCAATTAAAAACATAACAAATATTCTACTTTTGTAACATGTTGTGCTTTAATTAGTTTTGATATAAAGAACGATTACTGGTATTTTTGAAGTTCGCTGGCATGCCTCATGTTTTGTCTATCTTCTTAAATAAAGGAGCCCTTATCCGCTCAAGGGCCAGTATCTATTCAGCGAATTCTGCCCTATAAACAGGAAAAGCCAAAGAAGATCTGCCTGTCCTGCAGTCAATGAATAAGCAAGGGCGAGTCTTTCTTACTAAATGATTCATATTTCATTGTACTTGGGAGCCCTTAGGGGAAAGTTGCAGCTTTATAGTCACATAAGGTTCGGGAAGGCATACCGCATCTTAGGATATTAGCTTATTCCACTTCAGTGAGAGAGTCCTGCTAGAAATGAGTAGTTCCAGCCAAAGTCCCACCCCTTTTGGTGTCTACTCGAATCCCTTGTCATGTGTGGGGTAATGGCATGAAATGATGAGTCGCTAGTATCCATAAAAGGAGGACAAACGCCGTCTTGTCTATATGGGGGAACAGTGGAAGATGGCTGGCACACCCGGCAAGGCGGATGTATTCGGTCGCAGACCAGGAAGCAATTAGTTCCTTTTGATGAAAGCGGACTCGGCTGCACAGAAGAGATGACTCGTTATAAGGATGAGCTGGACTCTATAGAGGTGCCCTTGGTTTTAGCTGATCCAATTAAAGGTAAAGTTCCCGGCTGTTTCAACAAAAAATGCGTTTATTCGTGATCCAAGGTCTCAAGTTGGCCCCTCAAAGCACGGACTTTTCTTGTATTTTTATTCTTGAAGGAAGACGTTGCCATTCAGCAAGCACAAGAGGCTCATAAGGTAACCTTTTTGTAACCTGTTTCCACACATGCAAGGACTGAGCACTTTCGAGTCTAACTTAGAAGTCTTACGAATCGCTCGTCTTCCTTTTGATGAACGCATTGCTGACTTCTACTGTTCGAGTTTCGGATATCCTGAAGAATGAACGAAGCTTTCGTTAAGAAGCGAAGCAAAAATCTCTAAAAAGTAAGAGGGTCAAGCACTCATGTGAGGAACCGAACTTCTGAGCCGGCGTCGCCAAGGTACGGCATGCGCTGACGACGGTCGCGATTTAACCGTCAGCCAGTGAAACTTCAGTTGAAAGATGTCGTCCGCCTAGCGGCACGAATTTAATAACCCATTAACAAGTTCTCGTTGACGAAATGTAGAACTTTGAAAGCAGCACTGTATTATTAAAAAACAAAAGGTATACATATATATATCTATATATATATATATATATATATATGGAACACGTTAACTCGAATTACGTTTTATATAAGGTATTCTTTGAGCTTAATCGCTGTTACTGTTTGAGCTCAGCTTTCGAATCTTACTGCAGGTTTGATTACTGGCCTATTCTAAGTATCCATAAGGTAAACGGTTTTTTATCGAATTTCCAGATCTTAACAAGAGGCCTTAGAAATGTTCCTTCTATAAGTTCGAATCGACCCAGTGATTGACGACCCAAATAATAAATGATCAATGAAAATGAATTGACTTCATGAAGTATCGATAACACGTTGATTATAAGACTTAATACAAAATACGACACGCAAAGAACAAGCTAGTTCATTAAACATCATCCTTACAACCTGTCTAAAGACGTATCGTATGCTAATTTTATCGGGCAATTTCACAGTAGCGCGCTCTAGACGGTTTGCATAATAGAAATAAGAAAACATAGAATTTTTTATCTAGACTCGTAATAATTACATAGGAGCAATGAACAGCGCTTTTGCATTTTACGCTCATTGAAGTCCCACTAATGTGACTGGCAACCATGCACAGGTACAAAAACACTATGAGAGTTCCTGTGTGTTTGTATGGCTTCATTTGTTTTTCTTGCTACCGCAATTTCTGCCGACAAAGTTTTCGTCTATTTCGCTTGAACGATTTGCCATCGGTTTTCCGTTTCGTCTTCATCGGTTTCTCATCACCGTTTCATATTGTAGACGTCTTCGAAATGTTGGCGCTACACTAACCACTTACACAGTTTCAGACTCGAAAAGTCTATGTCCGGTCGACATTTCAAAGCACTCATCATTCGACGCTGCGTGTTATGTCACTCACGAAGAGAAAACTTCAGACTTTGCTCAGTTTTATATTGAGGCTATTGCGAGAAACAGACGAACGGGCGGTGGGTGATTAGTCTTTCATCAATGCTTCAAAATGGTGACGGCAACGTTTGAATTTAGACATGAAGTAGTTTGTCTTTTACCTTTCTCCTATAAAGCCGGGGCGGTTTG